CGACAAAATTAAAAACAAGTATCTAGTATGAAGCTTCATTCGGATCACGCGTTTTTTCATTTGGTCAAGTATTGCTTATTTGGCAGTAATTGTTTCGGGCGGATGTCGGACGGAGATCGAGAGTAGACCCCCAGCTGCGAGCGAGATGTGCCTCGATAGTTAAAAGCTCTTGTATCCCAAGTGGACATTTACCTTGAGGTACTCCTGTGCAAGCTGCTTGTGCTCCTCAAAGATACGTTTCGATTCATCGTTGTTAAGGTCAGGCGAGATGGGCCGCAGGTGCGGGTCAAGCATCATGTGGATCGAGTCTAGGTCCGGGTCCGGCACGGCCGGCGGCGGCGCTGCGCCTTCTGCGCCTGTCGAGCCGCTACTGTTGCCTGTATAAAGACAAATTTAGATAACTAACCCTGCTTGAAGGTAACAAAAAAATCTCCTGAAAATAACATAGCTTGCAATTGAGTCCCGTGGTCATAATTGAAATTTGCCCTACGTGTTATCGAGCCATGTCAAGGCAGTGAATATTTTTTTTGTACATTTGTAAATTTATCACCACACATTTATCAACACAGTCGTTATATGAAAAAATAATTTCTATATCTAAAATGACCGTAGCAACGGGACATACGAATTGACGAGAACAGCCCCCGTAACATGCCACCGCGATAATTATATCCATATCTAGCTGTCAAATTTGAGTGATAAAACCGATATTTTAAAATTTTATCACAATAGCTAGCGCTACTCTCGCGCCGCAACCAATGGCCGCGAAAGAACGTGGACGCAAGATCATTGCTGATTTTAAAAGATTTTGGTAGTTGCGCACAGTAATTTTATCAACGTAAAAATTAAGTGACAAAAAGAAATAATAAAAACCAACAAATTGTCATATATAAATTATTTAAAAAAAGGTGAGGAGAACATTATCAATAAAGTTCAATATATGAGAGTAATTAGAAGAATACGTAAATTAACAGTAATGTAATGTAAAATACGTAAAAACTGAAACTCGGAATTATTCGGTTAATCGTTTTCGCGGCGATGATTAAAGGAGGATACGCAATTTCATACTGTTATCCTGGTTCCTCAAAATGTATAACAATAGTTCATTACCAAATAAACAAAAGAACGAATGACTCTAGTGCGGTCTCTTACCGATTCAGTATGTGCAATAAAAAAAAAAATAGTGGCAACTTAGTTTTACCAACTGACATAAATATGTCACGCACGGTTAATCACGCACTAGATGCGATATACTGTCATGCTGCGGCCACTGGCTTTTCTATGCACGATAGGAGTTCCCTCAATGACAGAGAAATGAAGATAAAATTATATGATTTACTCGTTAAAAAGACTATTCTTCAACACAAAACGTACAACATTTAAAATAATCTCTTAAAACTGTGTCGAAAAATAGGTAAAAGCTGGTTTTCATGCTTCACCTATCACGTATTCGCCGTTGGAGACACCGTAGCATGTAAAGATGGGTAACAGGTTACTAATTAGGCATTGCTAACACGTTAGCATAGATACCGCCGTCTGTTGTCGTGTATTGTGAGCTATCTTTAATATTTTACATCAATTTCAGAAACCATTATCAGTGTCGGTCTGCTTTCATGTCTAATCAAGATACAAAATGTTAGTTGCATAATAATGACGTTGCTATAATTGAATCGTAAGAAGTTCATATCTGCATTTTGGGCCAGCTCAGCCTTGTGACGTCTACCTATACTTGATGGCGACGACGAATCATATAACTTCCTTAATGAAAATAGTTAGTAGTTACCTATCCTTTAATACTGTTATACAATAATCATTGTTATATAAATTCAATGAATCTATAAAATATTTCAAATGTAGTTTCTTCTTATTTATGAAATAAAGATATTTTGGTTTTGTTCATTTTGGTTTATGCTGTGTAAATATGAACCTGCCTCAAAAAGCATACAATCCTTTAATAAGCTTTAAAATGTAGCAGTTAATCTTCCAATACAGCAAAGTACAATATTGTAAAAGCTAAACGCCCGTTTAGGCTTTCAGTATGTCCTCAGTTTTGTATGAAAAATGCGACAGAGATTTTTTTAGGTAAGTACTTTTTACTAGATACCCTACGGTCATATACACACATCAAACGTGTCTAGGGTTCAAGCAGGTATTCGCCATTGCAGAAAAGCAGGTTTTTTAAGTTTTTTTAACACCCATGGGTTTTGTTTTGGTCAACTTTATAATTATTAATCATTTTAATGTGAAAATGAACTTGACAAAAAATCCATTGGTGTTAAAAAAATAATTAAAAAACGTGATTTCAAGTAATCAGCAAAAACGTGCTTGATCCTTTGGCACTTTTGAAGTATGTAGTATAATTGTAACGCTAAATTTGAATACGATATTTTTCATTATAATGTGCCCTGCGCATTTACGTGATCATAGGGATAATATTGTCAAAGTCTGAGTGTCTTCACATATTATGTAGGTACATTGCACATATTATGTAGGGGCTTATATATGGTTACAAGATATTCGAATTGGAAATGTTCAAGTAAAGCACTCAACATTTAACGGTGCAAACACATTGCTGAATGCGATCAAATCAGAAGTGATCACAGTCTCTGAGCTACAGGCAGTGTACCGACCGGATGCGAGAACAATCCGTGTGTTTGGGAATCAGTCTCACTTCTACGCCACCAGAGTTGTGTTGTGTACGTCAAGAGTTAATTTTACTCGTGTCGGTGATGTCAGACGCTTCACCTAGATTTCGGCTTTCGACCAACGATTCTTTCCCCAGCTGCGAGTAGATGGCAGCAGCGAACTAAACAAGGCGATGATAGGTTTTCGTCAACATTGGCAAACAAAGCGCATAAAAGATTTCTTTGCGAGTACGGTAACATACACTAAAAGTGATCTCCTGTAGTAAACAAAATGTTTAGGTCATCTTGTACGGCGGTGTAAAATGATGTTGTGAGGGTATTTCACATAGCAAATGAAAACTTAAGTGGCGGAATCAACTCACAAAGATTAGTACGTATCACGGACACACGTAACTGCTGCATAAGTGTATGGACGGGTCGGTATTTCAGGGCTCCGTTCCAAAACGTAAGACCTATGCGTTCATAGATGGAACGCGTAACTCTACAACGGTAGCGCAATACTCGCACGTAACTCGCGAGCTTACGTAGAAGCGCGAGTGCGCACGCGAAGGGCGTAACGGTGCGCTGACGCAAGGCGCGACCCGAGGCGAAGGGCGGTGAAGCTCTCCGCGTAGCCTTTGCGAAGTTCAGGCGGGCGGGGGCGGACACTCACTGTAGAATATCCAACTACAGCTGACTGTGTCCCGGATAGTGGTGACGATGCCGGAGGCGTCACACGCGTCGAGACGGTCGAGGCGTTCGAAGCGGTCGAGGCGGCGCGGGCGCAGGCGCGCGGGTGGCGCGGGCAGCGGCGGCATGCCGACGTGCGCTCTGCGGAACGTGGCGTACGGCACTGAAGAACTAAGCGGGAGAGCCGGGGCGGGCGGTGCAACAACAAACCGCCGCTATTCGCAGAGCGATGACTCAGCCGCGTCAGGCGGAGCTAAATGCGGACGCCGTGTGCTGCCGCCCTTCGCGAGGTTCTCCGTCGCTCACGCAGGCAGGGCGCGCGCGCGCGCCTCGATGCACCGGTCGACGACCCGCGCCCACGCCACAGCTGCTGCACTCACCACGCCGACAACGTAACTGGCATCCCCCTTCGCCACTTTCCGTTCGCGACGAAATGTCAAAACTGGCAAACGGGTGACGGTTTCGAATCTTAACGCTTAAGTAGGTAACGACTACTTAGTCGTGCCCTGTACATAAGATTGCAAATGTAATTGTACGATTCGCAAGAATGCCTTTGAAATCGATCATGCATAGGAATTGTGATATGAATGATAGCCAAAGGCCCTATGGACAGCTGACAGCCCTATGCACGATTATGCGATTACCCGTGCACTGCACCAGCCAAATGTGCAGTGCGCAAAATGTACGTAGGTCCGACGTAAATGCAATCCATTATCAACATGTGACAATTATATGAAAATACTACGTTCCAAACAACGGCACATTGGCGAGAAAGGGAGAAAATTAATCAATTTGCTTGCGCAACGCAAACACCCGAATATAACGGAATAGAATGTCCACTAACTGCAGCCTTGGTCATCAACATCGCACACGGTACTCCGCAATACATATAGCCCTAATGAAAAACATGATATCGTAAAAATAATACAATACGTCCATACAACATATAATAGTATGGCAATATACAAACTGGGTTGTTTTAATAATTGAATTATTTGCAATGCGTAAACAAGCATTGAACACGACAGAAGGATTTACTATTATTGTTGTAACAAGACCGTAATCTGTTTATGCGATTAAAAAAAATACAAGTACACGATGCCGTCTTTAGCGTACTCAGAAAAATTTATTACCGCTGATAACATGGTGTGAGCCCTTGATTCCGCGTTTTTGTTTTCTTGGGTTACACAATAATACGCAGGTACCAAATTAATGGTTTACTGAATTATCAATGGAAATCGGTTTCAGGTGAGGTTTTAGGAAAGTATTTGTTTGCGCTAACCGAAAATTATGTTTACCAAACGTCTAGCTAGAAAAACACTCGAGTGACGGGGTTAATTGCGTTACAAAAGCGATAATTAACGAGTAAGAGGCGAAGACAAGAGCATGGCACACGTAAGGGTGTGCGGCGTTGATGGATCCGCTCCGGCCGGGCGGCTATTGGGCCGGTGACTCACGCACGCCAGTTTACGACCGCAAACATCGATGAACCATAAAATTTAAACGGGAAGCAGTAAATTATACACATTTTATTCTAGCACGGTCTAACCAAAGACAGCGCTAATGAAATTAGGGAATCTAAATGAATGATATTTTCTTATAGGTAATCAAACTATTTTTTTTTTATTTAAATTGCGTATATTTGTTTTTTTAAACAAACCGACGTTTCGGACCTTTACAGGTCCCATGGTCACGGTTGACTGAAGTGGTACAGCCATCAACCAGTTATGTCTAATATTAATGCAAACCATCCTATTTTGTTTGTTGTTTTGTTTGAAAAAACAAATATACGCAATTGCAATCCGGAAAAATAGTTTCATTTTCTATGTGTAACTATCGCGAAAACCTAAGAGAACTTGATATGATATTTTCTTGTAATGTAAAGTAATAATCTTAGTACAGAGACCTATAAAACCGACCTCAAAATTTCGTGGAATTATAGTTTATTTGCCAAGTTTATTGAACTTGGTTACCGGCAGAGGCGGCTTGTCCTAAGAAGCGCTGGTGCAGTGAACTCCCACTCCTATCCAACCCACCAAAATAAACTTATTAATTGTGCTTTC